TGAACTTTTTCATAAAGGTAGCAACATCTCTCCTCAAGGCTGCCTATAGGGGGAACATTTTCTCTCAGCAGTCTGATTTGAATCTAAGAGCATTGAATTGTGCCTTAATTTTTCATTCCCATTTTTGGATAATCTTTACCAACCCCCTACCATACACAGCAAAAACAGTCAGGATCAGTCTTTTTAGGTGCTGCCAGTTCCATTAATCTCGCATTTTTTTTCTTCTTCCCTCTTTCCTTTTTTTGTTTCCCCTCCCTCTTTCTGTATCTGACAGCCTGAACAATTCCCATCTGTCAGTCAGACCCTCAGTGGCAGACTGTGCTCTGTTCAGCCCCTTTCTTACCACCTCTAATTGGAGTGTGGACAGGGCTATTAACGTGTTAGCGCTCCCATCTGATAAAGGTCAAACCCCGTTTTTCCCCGAAGCACGCAGCTGAGAGTGTGCGTTTGTTGGCGTTTATGTGCATGCGTATGTGTGTGTGTGTGTGTGTGTTCCTTCACTTATCAGGCTTCACCTTTAGGCTTCAGTGAGAGGAGAGGCGGCCTCCTTCTGATGACTGCTAAACGCCTGGCTGGCCCACTGTTTGGAGGAGTTTGAACTCGACCAGGAGAGAGGGTCGACTCCTGGCAAAGACACTCCACACACACATTTAAACACTCACATTGGCGCTGTGATTATGAAGGTGCTGTGCAGGTGCCTGGCTGCTGTCAGATTACGGTAATTTGCTCTCCAGGATGATTTAGTGTCCGCTGTGCTTCTGCTCATTACGGCCACAGAGATGCAGAGAACGCAGAGGGGAGGTGATTTATAAGATTTTAAGGGGGCTGCAATTGAATTTAATGCAAATCAGATTTGAATTTAAATAAGGTTAGGAGGGAGTAACAGAGCATGACTGCATACTGCTCAGAAAAGTTTGGTGGAAAGCAAAAGTGATTTATGTGTTGAAACATGAAAATAAACAGCTAAAAGTGCCTTGTGGAAGCATAGATTTAACATTACACGTTTTTTGAAGTGTAATTCAAGTTTAGTCGCTTAAATACTTTAAAAAACACAATCAAGTCTTTACTTAACTCCTAAGATGACAGATTGGCCTATGATTGTGTTTGCATGCATTAAAGTACACTCAAAGATCATTGTTTACTTATTATTTGACATGACTGTTCAAAATACACCCTCACCATGCCTCCTCCCCCTAACTGTAAGCAGAATTTTTTTTGCTAAAATCACTTAGAAATGTTTTAATTAAGTGATTTATAAATGGTAAATAGTTTATTCATGTTTAATCATCATTTAAAAACAGCATATACACCAATTATAAATGGTAAATAGATAGTTTATTAATGTAAGTTAATAGTTACTTTATCATTAACAAGCAATTAAAATACAATTTATCATTTTCATTAATTATTAATGGACTATTTATTAAGGGTTTATATTGGGTTTAAATACTGGTTGGGTTGTAAAACATCTAGATTTAAATGTGTGTCAGTACCACTTTGCAAATGGTTAATATTTGTTTTTTAAACTATCTATAAACTTTACTTAGATGGTTATTGTAAAGTTGCAACTGATGTTTGTAATACTTTGTAAATTATTAACAAGTGGTTTATAAACCACCTATAAACATTACTTAGATGGTGATTGTAAATTTAGGGTTAGGTTTTTAAAATTGTAAAATTTACAATTTATTAATGGTCTATATGCTATTTTTAAATGATGATTAAACATTAATAAACTATCTGTTTATCATTTATAAATGTTCTATTAACCATTTATAAGTTATGGCTATTTTAAAGTGTTACCCTACTTTTGTCCCATTCTGCTAGCTGTGGTTCATCACTTCTTATCACCTCACACTCCTGTCACCGGTTATGTTAAATCCTTGATTCTGATTGGTCAAAACCTGTGATATCAACGAATAATCCTAAACCACTAACAAGGACGCTAGCAACAACCTGATCTCACACATGTCAAACTTACAATAATAATGCATCAGATTTTATATAGCACTTTATCAGAGACCCTCAAAGTGTTTTACATTGGCTACATCATTCATTCGCTCATACAGTCACACCCTGATGGTAGTAAACTACCTGTAGTAGTCACAGCTGCCCTGGGGCAGACTGACGATAACTTGGTTGCCAAATCGCGCCTACGGCCCCTCCGACCACCACCACACAACACTCACGAGCATTCACCAGTGGAGGACACACACTGGGAGCAAGGTAGGTTAAGTGTCTTGCCTAAGGACACAACGGACAGACTATGGATGATGGGAATCGAACAGCCAACCTTCCAGATATTGGATGACTACTCTACTTCCTAAGCTCCTGCCACCCTAAATCTGCAGAAAGGAGTACTGGTCCATGCTGCCTGTTGAAACTGTGTCAAACATATCAGCTCTTTCTTCACTGTTATTGCTGTGTTTCTGTCACAAGAGGAAGAGCTAGACTCTGTACCTGCAACATGATTAAGATACTAAAAGGTAGATCTACATGTCATATTTGCAGAGATCCACTGGTGTCTAAGTATACTCCTCTGTGCATGCATTATTGCTCATAAGTACATATCTGATGGACTCCTGCATCCCTGACTTTTATTCATAGAGTCCTTTTCTTCATTGTGAATTATTGAAAAATGGCGTGCTCATTGCTACTTTGCACTTACATTATCTGAGTCTTTCTGACAGGTGCTCATGACGCATTCAGGATCTGCACGAGTCACGCCTGTGATGTTGTCATGTCAGTTACACTACAATTACCTCACGTTATTTATACTAAAATGGGCCGATCATCCACACAGTCTGCGGTTAGACCTCCCTAGTTAAAGCCTGATATGACAGACCTGTTAAAGCGTCATTAGGTAATATAATGAAATATTGATACACTTAGTGTGACTTTTGAGTGTGGTAAAAATATTTGATAGTTTAACAGGTCATCTTTTTTTCCTGTCTTCATTATCTATCTGAAATATCTTAACCCAGTTCAGCATTCTCAAATATACTTGGAAACCATCAGATAAACAGATCCAGAGTTATTTAATTTAAAGTTAAGGCGAGAGTTTCATCAACTTTTCTCATCCAAGGACAAGTCTGAACTTAGTAAACAATCCACTCAGCCAACATGCAGAAAAACTCTGCTGTAATTTTCAGGGAGGATGCTCGTGTCTACCATCTTCCCCTTGGGATTAAATTGAAGTGCTGACTGTAAAAAGTCCAGATTCTTATCTAGGACACTATTGACGGTGAAGGACATTGCTTATGAAGTCTAACAAAACACTTCAGGTTGGTCTCTGTGTTTGTTTGCATCACTTCGCAACTCCCCAAAGTAGCCTGTACTTTTACTGCCTTTAAACTGACACCTAGTTTGCTTCCAATTTGTATTACTTGACACATTACTGTGCAGAGAAAAGGCTTGCACTGTGTTTGCCCCACCGGAGATGAGACAGACTGTCAGAAGGTGACAAGAACAATGCAGTAAAGATATTTACACCCATATGAGAAGCATTGTTATCTCCCCTCTACTGGAAAAAAAGCCTTTGGAGTTGTGTTTTCTCCAGCTATCTACTGTTTGTGTGTATAATGAGATCGACTGGGAATCTGTGTGCAACTCCCAGAAGCAGAAAAGAAAAGGGAGAATGAAAGGCATGAAAAAAAAAAAAAAGAAAAACCCACACTGATTGTGATACCAAGAGATGAGATGATGCCCAGGTAACCGAGGAGTTTGACATCTCAGAGAGGGAAAAACGAACAGAGAGTGAAGTGGCCTGAGGATTCGGTATGAAAAGCAGAGTCGAAGCTCAGAAGCTTGTGTTACTTGAGTCAATGGCTTCGAGTGCATAGTGTCAGAGCTTGAAATGTCACATAGCTCATGTCCTACAAAGCTTGAAACATCAACTGCTGCTTCAAAACAACATTTTATCCAGATCAACTTTTGTCCCTTTGGGGATTCTGTCACAGACTTTCCTTTTGAGTTGATTTTTGCACCCCCTGTGGACAAAGAGGTAGGTCTGCTCGTCATACTCAGGATGAGAAAACATACCCATGCATCTTCAACCTCTAATCTCAACTAAAAGTTGGGCTCAGACTTAAAAAAATTTCCTGCCTGAATTTATGGCTACAGCTTAAAACTGTGTTCACAAACGTACAATGGTTTTTAAGCTTTTGCAGTAACCTCCACTGCTGAGTCATGTCTATTTTTAATAGTGTGAAGATTTCTGCAGGTTCTGTAAATCTTTTAACAGTCTTATTTGCTGTAAATATTTAAATCCTCAAATTTGTCACTAGTTTGAAACTGAGGAATATTATTTTGTCATTGTTGAACTATCTGCGACAGCGGTGTAGCAACCCTTTGACAGAAGGTCAAACACTTTTTCACTTTTTAAACAGATGTTTTCAGTGAATCCTAAGCTGCTTCTTCAAGGTGTGGTAATACATTGAAATTTTTTAAAACCATTCATTGATTTCTTTTAGTCAGATTGTTTTAATATAAAGGTTGGGGTACCCCAGAGTTCAATCCTTGGACCTCTTTTGTTTCTAATACAAATAAATGCTTTACCTAATGTCTTTATTATTTGCTACTGACATTTGTCTGTTGCTTGCTATGATAATTTTTGTACAATGTTCCAATTTTATCAATTTTTTATCAAATTCAGAATGAGCAAATACTTTTATTAGCAACACATTTTTTAGTTTCTAATTCGAAATGTTGTCCTTGCAGTATTTTTAAATTGAATAAAGGCTATAAATGATTTGCAAATCAGAATTTTTAACAACATCTCAACTGTTTTGAAGCCACAGGAAAATACACCAAAGCTGTACCACTCAGGTTTGGATTGATTCCTTCACAAATGTTCATTCTTCTAAATTACGAAGGTTGGATATCAGGGTAGTTTGCTATGATTAACTCATTTTGGTACCAACCCAGACATTAGTCATTGATTATTTGAGAGATGACACAGCGATCAGCTTTGTGAGCGATTAAGCAGTTCGGTATTGTGTTCACGGTTGTACAAAGACAGGAAATAAATCATCGTTTGGTCCATTTGTGCAAAATGATGGTGGAGGAAATATTTCCAAACTAAAATCCCCAAATTTGTCAGAGTGGGTGATCCATTCAGAGACCTGCAGAAATAAAAAAAAAGAAAAGTTGGAGAGCCCGGGGTCTAATTGATCATCAGTCACTGCGGAGGGTCCGTCCCCAGTAGTCGCTGTTCAGCTTCACTCCAGCTCTCAGTATCTCTGTGTGCCAGCAGGTCTAGGATAGAGTCATTACAGGCAGACAGAGAGGCTCGGAAATGACTGGTCTAAATCACCGACTCACCTGGAGCACTTAGTGATAAGCTGTAAGGGGTAGAGCGTGTGTGTGTGTGTGTGTGTGTGTGTGTGTGTGAGTGAGTGAGTGTGTGTGCACCACAGAGGGAGAGAGCAGTGACACATTTCTACAAATGACTTACTCTTTACTTTTCTCTGCCACCTTTGTCTCTCCATTCTCCTACTTTAAAAGATAAACCCTCAATTTAAAGTCAGCGCTCCATCTTTGAACAGAAAACAAATCCAGAAATGTGATGAATAGCCTCCAGAGCCTTTTATTTCCTGCTATTCTGCTGTTTTTTGTGCTTTCCTTTTCCTCCTATTAGGCTTAAGAACATTTATCCATTTTTACACTCCCCATAACTTCAGCTGTACAGTCGCTGCATACATATTCAGAGCCACATGTGGACATTCATTATCTAGAAACTTCTCTAAGTTCACAGTAATTTATCATATGAATGGACACATAAATATTTAAACATTTCTAATCATGCAATAGCTTGCTTTTGCAAACTAAATTCTCACTTTACCCCAGCAGAGAGCACCACATTTAACAAGAAATCATAACCCAGTGGTTCTGTATCAAACACTGCAGAGGGGCAACAGCGGAGGAGGATGAGGCTGTCTGCTGCTCTTAACAAACTCCTGTCCTATTTAAGGATTTAAAGAATGCATCAAAAATTCATTCGTAACTTTGTCCAACCTTGTCACAAGATGAATCATGTATGAGTTTATATATGTGACCCTGGAGGTTCAGTACAATTAGCAGGCAGAACAACAACATATTATTAAAAATATATGATCTTTATTAATTAATTTGGAATTAATAAAGATATTTCTAGGCTGAACAATAAACAGAAACGACTGCTAAGACAACGCCCACTCACCAATTTAAAGCTCCGCTCAATACCTTGGTGACCATGGCCTCCATGCATCTGCACCAGTACCTCTGTCTGCAACGCCCTAGGCATTATTATCTGCTCCTGCGGGCCCTGTCTTGGGCTCTCGCGCTTACGGTAAAACACACCTTTCCGTTCTACCACTCTTTCCCATTGACGCAACAGCTCCAGAACCCTCGTTGACTTTGCACGCCTCTTCTCCCGAATCGGTCTCTCCCCCCGCTGCCAATACTTGAGGAAAGACGCCACCACTGGATCTGCTTGTTGTAACCAAGAAAGAGCCTCCATGCTGTATGCCGGAAAGGTAGAAGTGGAAGCCTCCGCTCGAGGGGCCACCACTGCTTGCTCCTTACTCCATGCAGCCGGTAATTCTACTGGTGTGAGGGCGTCGCCTTTCTGATGTGAGCAGGTTTGGGTACCAAACCCACGTGTGAATACTGCCTTGATAGAGAGTCTGCAGCTGCATTCTGCCTCCTAGGGCTGTAAACAATCTCATAATCAAACCGTGCCAACTCGAATACCCAACGCTGTTCTACAGCCCCTAACCTTGCTGTCTGCAAGTGGCTCAATGGGTTGTTGTCCGTTAGCACGGTGAACTTGTTCCCGATCAAATATTACCTAAACTTGTCGGTTACTGCCCACTTAAGGCCCAGCAACTCTAACTTCATTGAACTATAGTTCTCCATGTTACGCTCCGATGCCCTCAACCCCCTGCTGGCATACGACATGGGTCTCCTCTGGTCCCCAAGCTCTTGAGACAATACTGCTCCTAGCCCCTGGTGGCTGGCATCCATCTCTAGCGTGAACGGTTTGGTGAAGTCAGTGTACACCAGCACCGGCGCCGAGACTAACCTCTGCTTGAGGGCTTGAAACGCCTCCTCACATGCCAGACCCCAGTGCTGACGAAAGACAAGTGCCGGAAGAGGGCGCCCCCCCTTCTTTGGGGAACCAAGTGCAGAGAGAGCATGGATTGGCGCCATCAGGCTTACAAAGTTCTTCACAAACCTGCGATAAAAACTTGCAAACCCCAAAAAGGAAGACAACTCCGCCCCAATGCAGGGACTCCTCCACTCTGCCACCGCCTGTATCTTGGCTGGATCCGTCGACACGCCCTGCGACAAGATAATGTGCCTAAGATACGTCACCTCCGACTTAAAGAATGAACATTTACCGAATTTCACTTTTAGGTTACACTGCTCAAATTGTAACAGAACAAGTTCCAACCGATGCAGATGTTCTTCAAAAGGTGTAAGAAAAGACTACATCGTCGTCCAGGTAAAGCAGCAAGGCTTGGAACCACTGATCGCCCAAGATGCGTTCCATAAGCCTTTGAAAAGTCCCTGGTGCATTGCACAAAGCAAAAAGCATGTGATTGAACTCGTACAGCCCAAATAGTGTACAAAAAGCAGTCTTCAGTCGGTCCTGCTCTAACACGTCCACCTGATAGTACTCGCTCGCCAAGTCCAACGTCTAGAACCATTGTGCCCCGCTCAAGGAATCCAAGGACTCTTCTATGTGTGGAAGCGGAAACGCATATTTGCGGGTCTTTGCATTTAACCGCCTATAATCGAGCCATCCTTTTTCCTTACAATCATCAATGGGGAAGAGTACGGGCTGCTGCTCTCCCTAATCACTTCCTGCTCCAACAACTTTTTGATGTGGTTCTTGACTTCCTCATACTGACTAGACGGGATCCTTCCATACCTCTGACTCACAGGGACATCATCCACAACTAGGATCTCATGACAAATAATACTTGTGCATCCAAGGTCACTGTCTGACGATGCAAATACATGAGAAAATCTATGTAGCAGCTGTCTGGCCTGCTTTGACTGATCCTCCAAGAGACCCGGGAAGTGCAGTGCACTCCGTCCCAGCTGTCGTCCATCGCGCTAAAGTGCACGCTGACACCGCAGCCCTGCCCCCAACCCTGTAATTAAAGGCACACTACCCTGCCCCGGCCACAAATATTATGAAAAAAGAGGTAAAAAGAAAGCAGACTGTTGTTATATTGTTCAAAGGCTGACTCTGAAATGAAAAGGTCATGGCACCTCATACCAGATTTGCAAGTCAAAGTCAAGTCTGGATTCTTTTTGTGAAGCAACAAGTCCCAGTCAAGTCTTCTCTAATGTTAATGTTATGCTCAACACAAAGACGGCCTTATGGGGCTGATAACTATCCACACATTAACCCATTAAAAGTAACAGACAACACCTTTAAAAGTTTAATATATGATTTGTTTTTAATTATGTATTTTAAGTCAACACAGATTAACTAAAGAACAAATTAACAAGTCAACTAAACACCAAGAACCAAAACATGCGGATGTCCTAAATGAGACATAGCAGGGGCAGCAATTCTCCTACAAATGCCAATGGTTACTGCAGGAAGCCCCTGGGTTTTAAACCCTCAGGACGAGGTGAAGCTGATTGGCAATTAGTGGCTTCACCTGGACAGAGCAAGGAAAGACCAAAGAGGGAAAACACACAACCTACAGCTGAAACACCCCCACACTTAAAACAATGAATAAATAATTTGTAATGCAATGACAAATACCCATACATGGGTTACATAGCCAGTCAATAAATTAAGAAAAATGTTTATTCATATTTCACATCATGCCGTAGATTAATATTTGGTTGCCTCTAAATACTTTAATATTACTAAGCCAAAAAGTATCACAACCATGACATCTTTGAGTTAAATACTCCGAGCTTCAATCTTTATGAATTCCAAAATAATGAAATAAATGTGCTGCATTTAAGACAAAACACACGTCACTTTAAATTGTGGCTGATATCCAAAATAGCTGATTGTAACACAAGTTCCATCAAGTTCCACCTTCCTACAGTTTCCCTGATGCCTATCTGTGTCTGATGCACAGAACAGCAGTGTGAGAAAGTTCATATTTTATATAAAACATTGATCCCTGTCATTAACCTTCATCAAAAGGAGGAACCTGCCACGCCTCTGTCTTTCTTTGCCTCACAGATTTTCTGCAGTGAAAACGCTTTTTGCACCCTAATGCTGGGATTAGGAGAGAGCACTGATCATTTACCTATTGATCTTAAACAGATGAAAAATAAGCAAGGGTTGTCTGTGGTTATGCTTGAACAGCCTTCTTAGTTTCTGTGAGGTTGTTAAATCTTTAAAATAATTTTCTCCTTTAGTGTAGTCAAAGAAAAACAGCACCAGTCACTGATAATTTGAGTAGTCTTGTATAGAGTAAGACATCAACATAGCTCTGCAGATTTATAAATCCTTACAAATTTATGACCTTCACAGTTTGCAAACCACAAACCCACAAACACGCACATAAGAAAGGTCATCTTATAGATCAAGAAAAGCAGTCAGTGAAATTCTTTTTCTTTGACTTTCCATCATGGAGCAAGATTTGAATACTTATGAGTGTCCGTGTATGTCTGAAAGTTACTGGATTATCGGAAGAAACCTCCCTTTGAGTTTGTGTATCTCTGTGTGCATGCATGGCCTGCTAGCTGCTGTCTTGTCAGAAAATACTTTTAATGGTGTGTTTGTGTGCGTCTTCGCCTCCTTGTTCTGTCTAATCCGACGTAGTTTTCTCTTGACGGGCTGTCAGCCTTGACACCAAACGAGAAGATGTGTGGACCTCTCCGTCAGCCTCTCTGTGCTCTTCTGCTGCTGCATCTCTGAAGCAGTTTCAAGGTTTTCAAAGCCCACAGATAGTTCTTTAAAAAGATTTGTTGGAGGGGTAAAAAGTTGGAAAGGAACCAGAGATGGAGCTTCAGTTCATCGCCTTCATGTGAGGAAGATTTTGCCTGATTGGGCACGAAGCGCTGACAAGAGAGGGACTTCAAGGCGGGCAGGCGGGCAAAAGACAAGGCGTCACTCATGATAACTGGCTCCATCTCACACAAACTAGATCAGCCACTAATAATGAGGGCACTGTGTAATAATAATGATAATAATAATTCGAGCTGTTTACAATATATCTAGGTTGCCCTTAAAGCAAGATTTTGCAAAGTCAGACTCTTTGGAGGATATACAGCCTCTCACTTTCCATCCTCATTATCCGTGCATTGATCCGAATAGGTGGGGATGTCCTAATGAAGAGGTACTACGCTGATCCTCCTCTGGGGAGGAGAGGGGATTTGGGTTGGAAACTGGTGCGGACAAACACAGAGGTGGAAATCACTAAAACAATTATGGCGAGTGCTCCAGAAGAACCTGCACAATTATAGTGCATGATACTGTTAGGGTCACTGGTTTCAGATTTTGACTTTTAATCAATGTAATCTGTACTTGCAGTTTTGTGGTTGCATGTGTGGAATCCATACAGAACACTTGCAATCATTCATAGTAGGTAATAAGCATCAAATAAAATAAAATAAATAAATAAATAAACAAAACTCCTAAAGCAAAACTGTAACAGTGTAGCAAAAAAAAGAGCCTCATTTAAAAGACTGGGATTGGGAGTGGTTATGCATGCAAGCTGATGCAAATCACTCCCATCGTAACATTACCACAGGAGCTGTGTTTTGATAAAAGCTACTGAAACAGTCCAGAGGTTTTTAGCTTCTGTACTCTATGAAGGCTCGAGTGAGCACAAAGACGACTTAAGTTAGTGTATCTGAGCAAGGAAAACATATTTTATGGTATGAGATCTTAGGGTGAATCATATTTAAAAAGCAAGGCAAAAGCCATTATGTTGAATAAAGACTTTTAAAGGGGACTGTACAGAACAGAATCCTCATTTGCAGCACAGCACTGATTGTAACCTTCAGGCATCAGTCTACTGAGAAGAGGTTGTTGTTGATTTAGGAGGAAAGGAGATGGCAATAACCTCTGTTAGATTCACAAATCCCTACCAGAGAGCAGTATTAAAAAACAAAAATGTGGCCAAACTGGACTGTGGAGAAGACAAAACAGATGATGGATAATTGCTCAGGTTGGACGGAGAAGCAGTTCACCAGCACCAGCATCCTCCCTCAGCATCCTAGCTTGTTTGTAACAGAATCCATTTTTCACTAAAGCTCTTTGTCCCTTTAGAGCCAAACTTTTAGCTGAAATGGCCCAGCAATTGACATTGAAAAACATGGATGAGTAATGATAATTGGAAGTGTGCTGCAGAAGAAAATCTCTGGATTAGAAACTAATCTAATTTCCCCTTTTCAGACTTTGAGTATGAGACAGATCAAGACAGCGTGACAAGGTTAAAAAGAGGTAAAAATAGTACAACTCCATTGTGGAGGGAGCATTAAGATTTAGGTATGTCCAAGGGAAGGTACTGTGGGCTCGTCTTAAATGATCTTGAGATGTGAACATTGATAGAATTATGTACAGTAGGGCTTTAGGGCGCATTCACACCACCCTCGTTTAGTCTGGTTAAACCGATCCCTGGAGCGTTTACCCCCTTGGTGCGGTTTGTTTGGGTCCGTGTGAACGCTGACCTCGAACTCTGGTGCCAACCAAATAAACGAACTCTGGTCCGCCTGAAGAGGTGGTCTCGGACCACTATTGAGTGAACTCTGGAGCGGTTCATTTCGGGTGTGAACGTCATCCACACCAATCACAGGAAATGGTTGTAGGCTCTCATTAATGCCTGTCGCCGTCTCCTCTTTATCCGTCTGTTGTTTGCAGCACATCTACTCTGGAATGTATTAATTAATGCCGCAGTTCACACGCTGGCTAACGAGCCGTTTGTGTGCGGGATTGACTAGTGTCATTTGATACACGCACCAGATGAGTAGCAAAAGCAAAATCAGCCTACAATGCTCCATGACAGGCGAAGACAGCAGAGCGGGGTTTGTATTCCCACATAAACTAATGACCAATAACTGAACGATATTCGCGGTCACGTGACTTCCGGTTCCGTTTTCTGGAGCGATTGAGTTTGTCCTTTGTGAGCGCAAACCAGACCAGTTAAACAATTAAAACAAATGTATCGTCTTGCCTTGGATTCAAATCAGGAAACAGACCTTTCAGTGTGAACACGACCTTAGATTTGTAATATTAAACCAGGGAGATGCAATATGGAAGTGAATCAGAGGAAAACCTCAACTAACCTGGCATATTGAAGCTGAATTACAAGGTTCAGGGATAAGGAGTTGGGTGCTGATTGCATGCTGTTTAAATGAGAGTAAGGACTTTAGTATTGTGTTGTTTATGAACATTTCATTCAAAAAAATGGAACTGCTGAGTGAATGACGTGAATGGAATCACTTTGAGACCTGATTCATTCCTTTCTCAGTTCAGTAGAGCTCAGCCGTGTGCCTGGCGTGCCATTTGGGAGTGGAACTGCTGCCCTTGCTTGACTCTTTGGCGAACAACGCACAGCCAGCCAGCCAGCCAGCAGGCAGGCACAGTCTCGTGATTTGCTCACAGCGGATGAACGATATGTATCAGTCAGTCAGTGAACGACATCTATCAGTCAGACTGTGAACAAAACAAACGACTTCCAAACGACGTGAGGCAGGCGGAGGAGGGAGGGGTAAAGCGTGGTTCACCAACTGCCGGGTTGAGGCTAAGATAAAACAGTGCATTATAGTGCCTTTACATTAATACACATGTATAAACTTTCCTGCAAGAAGGATTTAATTTAAGCCAATTTAAAGCAATATGCTATTTAATACCTTTAAAAGTAGCGGAATCCCTTAGCTGCAATGTTTACTTATTTTGAATCTCTCCACTTTTCTGCGGTATAAAACCACGACGACTTACACTCGTTTAGCGGGCGTGCTGCTTGCAGCTGTGATGTTTCTTCCTTCAGGATTTGGTGAATGAACGACATGTGTCACCCAGTGAACACTGCTGTGACTTCAGCAGCAGGGGAGGGGAGAGGAGGGGCTCGTTCAATGAGTGAAGTCATGGCTGTGTCACTCACTCGTGTACTACACCGGCAGGACGGGGCTCCAGAGCACTGACTGATTCAGTGAAAGAATCTTTCGAACGAATCATTTTAATGAACGAATTCTCAAGATTCAGTACAGTCAAAAGAACTGTTCTTCCCATCACTGAAGGACACGTTGACCCCTGTTTTTATAAATAGTGATCACTCCAGTGGAAAATGGACATGTTTGTACCTTTTAATCGAAGAGTTATCTTACAACATTGGTGATAATGTTGGACTATCTAAACAAGGTGAAGTGGAGTGCAGTGCTGGCAGAACTTCACTTAAAGTACTCACTGGGTCTGAGTAAAAGAGAAGTAGTTTTGATCTATGAAAGCTCAGGCAACACTTAGAGTCGTGGCCTTCAGGGTCACTCATAAAAGCCATAAGCTCTAAGAATTTAAAAGTGCTACTGGACCTTTTAATACCTGAAGGCTCCACATGCATGTCAGAGGATCGCTTTGAAGGAGTAAAAGTAGAAACGGGTCAGAGGGTTTGACTTTGTTGGCTACTGAAGCCCATATACCATGAAAGTATACTGCTTTCTTGTTTCCTTTAGCTTCTGAACAAAAGGTAGCTCTTAGTTTGTGGTTGTGCCATTGCAGGGGGTTTGCTTTCTTGGTGGGGAGAGCTGCTGGATTGACCTGATAAACCCTGGATTCCTCCCTGTAGAAATATACTCGATATGTGGGAACTGGCACAGGCCCACGACTTGGCATTTTGCATCTGGTCTGAGAACACAGAGGAATCCCCAAGGATGAGTTTGAGCCAAGTACTGAGGAGCAGGATGTTTGGCTGCCTTGCATGACCTGCTGTTACCTAAATCTACAAAGTGGGTAGATATTTGATGCTTAAGTGGTGGCTTTGGGTTGTGGCTGAAATGTTCCAAATTTTAGTCCAGATCGGTATACAAGAGGTTTTTCTAAAGTGTTCTAGAGTAGTATAAAGTAGTGTCCTTAATGTTTTCATATCATGACTTGGAGCAAGCCAAAAAGTCCAGGGGCCTCATGTTTCAACGCTTGCGGCGCAAGAAAACCTTGCGTACGCCAAAATCGGCGCACACGTCCAGATTTATCATCGCGAAACGAGCGTCGGTTCCAGCGCTAATCAACGCAAAGTCAGGAGGTGGTGTAGAAATTGGCGTTGAGCTGATACTTGCGTTGACTGTGATTCGCACTTTGGCGACGCTGTGTGGCGGTGTTTGGTGACTCACTATGTGACAAGCGTGCACCACATCCCCGTGGCCGAGCAGCACGTCGCCCCACATGACGAACCAGCAGCAGACGGAGGGATGCGAGCTGATCCCTGCCGGGCCGCCGTCCTCGCGCGGGAGAATCTCATCGCCACAGTGTGAATGGGTAAGAAGTGAATACACAGTTCAATGAGCCAAATTAATTTATTTTCTCCACCAGACGCTCGAGGACATTTACGAGCCGGTCCAGCCGCTCGTTGATCCCCGCGATCCCCCTGATGATTTCTTCCTGCGATTGCAGGACCCCCTCCGCGAGGACCACCCGCGTCCGGGTGGTCCAGCGGAAGCGCTGCGGCTGGTGGACGCTCCACCGCTTTTCGGCGCGCTGGTGCTGATGCTGGTGCTGGTGCTGGGGCCGGGGGCCGGGGTGGCCCGAATGCCGCTGGTCCTGGCCGACGACTCCGAGCCGGCGGACGGGCTGCCGCGGGCCGGGGTTCCGCAAGCCGGCGACACGGCCGACACATTGATTTCTGTGACACAATAAAAATATTTGTTCATTTCAATTCCTGCTTCTGTGTATCTGTTGCGTTTACATCTCTCTCCACGGTATCATAGGTAATGTAATCCAGTATTTAGAGGTCAGTTATGCACATTACAGTTGTTTATTGCATAAAAAGTTATCAAAAATGAAGTTGAGGGCGAAGTATAAATCTCGTCTAAAAATAGACTGAATCCCGACGTTGAAATGAAGTATAAACTTAGACTAGACGTCTAATATACGTCTTTTGCTCAGTGGGATGACAAAGCATGTGGACATTTGTGTGACACGCCACTTACCCTATAATAATAATCGCCACCACCCGCTGCTCAAACGGCGTGAGGGTCTCCTCCCCCGGACCCCCACCTGTCTGGCCGGTACTCCTCCGGAGGGCAGCGGTACGCCGCTTGACCTCCACCTTGAGGTCCGACCACTTTTTTTTAATCTTCGCGGGGGTGCGTGTCTCGGAACCCACCGCATTCACCCTCTCGCAAACTTTCTCACACTCCAAGCGTTTTCGTTTTGCACTGACGCCACTGGACAGGCTGCCAAACAAAACACGCTGTCACTCCTCCACCTCCGCCACCAGCACCTCCACCTCGCACGCCGTAAATTTAGTTTTTCTTGTCATTTTGTCTGCGTGCGAGGACAGGGAGACCCTATTTAAATAAATCTGCATATTTATAGGAGGGCGTAACGGGGACGGGCCCAGTCACTCCGACATCTGCGCTCAATTCCACGCTGATTGGGATTTATCAAGGAAACACACGTGGATTGCGGCGCCCGCACACATTGATACATACGGATTTTTTTCAGCGTGACGGACCTTGCGTGCGCTCGTTTCTGGTATGAGTTCCACGCAAGTGTTGATACATGAGGCCCCAGGTGACTGAAATTGGGACCATCAAAGGCAACGTCAATGCAGCCAACGTCAAAACCATCAACTGATGCACTGCAGACCAACAAAGACCTTTTCAATGGGCGGGGAGAGACAATAACAATGGCAGAAGAGACAGGAGGAAAAAGAGCAGTCTAAGAGAAATAGACTGAAATGCTTCAACAACAGAATAGAGAAAATTGGAAGTAAAAAGACAAGAGCAATTTCCTCAGCTGCTGGTGTCTGAGAGATGAAAACAGCCTCTGGGCAGACCCGCTAAAGTGTTGCTTTATCCAATAACTCTCCATGGGCTACAAACACTGTCACTTTCTGTTTCACTGCAAGCTAACAATCAGAGTTAAACACACACCTGCTCTCACCCACACACACTGTTAACACTTGCACACACACACACACACACACACACACACACACAAACACTGTAAATACAGTCGATGCAGACCTGCTGGTGTCTGCAGGAAAACAGAACTCCAGGAAGATAATGACGGTACAATTAGTGTTCACTACAGTACATGAAGTAGAGTTTCAGCCCACATGATCAAATGAAACCAGACAGTGGTGGTTTGTACCTCTTTTTTCTCTTTCACTTACTACAATGTGCACTTTGTAAGCGATCTTGTTTGCTTTTGTGGGTATCTGTAAGAGTGCTAGTCTGTAAAATTCCTCACAGGAGCTTTAGATGGTGAAATACAACCCCTTTACCTCCACTTCATGTCCTGTTCACCATTTTTTGGATTCTTAAATCACTAAACCACCTGTTCACTCTACATTTTCCATTATTAAACATGTCAACAGGCCAACTTAGTCATTCTTTCATTCAAAACTTAGTCCTGTAGACTTCTAATATAAGGATGCAGTTTTCCTGGAAGGGCCTGGAAAATGTATATAAATACCAATATTTGTTGCGTCTTCGTTCAAGTAAAGGTCAACCAACCTTCTCATAAATGACACAATGGTGAGTGTCATATCTGTAACCAGTTATGTATTCAGCATCCAAGCGCATTGGAGTCGACACTGCAGCATGTCCGTGTTTCATATCACTGTAAACTAAAACTGATATAAATATTGCTTTGACAACTCTCATCTTTCAGGGTGATGGAAAACTGGCTTTATTTCTTTACAGGTAGAGGTTTGGGTCACAATCTAGACACTGAAGTGTTGACTTCCTACCAAAATTAAATTTAGATGTCAAAGTCATGTGCCAAGATATTTAAATTCACTGACTCTCTCAAATCTAGATTTGTTTAAAGTCTAAAATATTGCAAGTCAATATTTCTGGTTCAAGAGAGCACGATCAGCTTTGTTTCACTGGCATAAAGAAGCAGTCTGAGACATTTAAGAACATTTAAAGCAAGATGCAAGATCTTGGAGGCTTTCTGTACAGAATCAGCAATACAATACAGGATAGTATCATCTGCATGAAAATCAGCATGACAAGTAGTCAAAGAACACAGGATGTCAGTCAGTGCGTTTACATGCACAGCTCGTCGGACTAAGTTCATAGTTTGTTTTTCTCACCAAATCGGACTTCTCTCCTTGTCTGTGTTTACATGCAGCAAAGAAAATTGAATTATTGACGTGAACTTTTCCTCTTTCCCAAAACTAGAGAGTAAAATGGGTCTTTTCAGCAGCGCTGTTTCCGACCTCATACAACTGTCAACAACAACAGCAGGTCAGACGTCAGAAGTGGCTTCAACTGCTGCTGAGCATTTTCGAGCAAGAAGATGGAGCATCGTACAGCTTTGTTATTGTCGTACATGATGTACGCACTACTTTTTCTATGCTGGTTACGTCCAGCGTGGGTGTCTGAATCGGAGTTCTCCAACTCCAATCAAAGTTCTCAAACTCCGATTATAGCTGGACTAAGGTGTTTACATGCACTTCAGTTGTCCAGTCTTAATCGGAGTAAGGCAATAATTTGGTTTTCTCGAGTGTCATGTAAACGTATTGACTGATGGTGAACAGCATGGGGCCTAACATTGATCCATGTGGCACACCTTTAGCAATGAACAGAATTCAGGTTCAGCCGGGTTCCCAAACCTCCAAACTCGGCTGCTGCAGTCCCTTCCTGTTTGCCTTGAATTCAATCTGGTGCCTGTTTACATTACTACAGGAGAAGATGAGGGAAGTTTGAAAAAGCTGGTAATATATGCGTTTGAAGTCCATAGTATCAGATTAGAGTCCAAAGGAGCCTTTGATCATGTCAGTTTTTCCATTCTGGGCTGTTTCTGTAGTTTTTTTAAAGCTTTAGATAAAGCCGACTCTGTGTCAGTTTCTGTGCGTTTAAAGGACTTTGAGGTGGAAACCCTGACAGGCTGTGTATTTAAAAATCTGTAACGTCAGTTTCTAAGATTATCTGCTTGGCACAGTTACCTCCCTTACACCCTTTTCTCCTCTTTCATGGAAAGTTGTGCACTGTATTGTTAGGACTTTAAATTCAGCCGGATAGTTTCCCCACAATCTTACAAAATTGTAAAAGAAGCAGCTCTTTTTTATGATCCGAAGACAAGTCTTGACAGTATCTTTATAGCTTGAAATTTCATTTAAGTGAGGAGCTGGAGGCAGCTGGTTTTATTTTGATTAGAGCAACTTATTTTGTCTCCAAGAATTAACGGTGCCGTTTGTAGATAGTGCTGGAGTGTCACTTTCTTCTGCAGGGACTTATTTTATTACCATGTGATAATGCTCTTTAGGATATGCCAAGGCTTCATTTAGACGCTGTTATTTATAGAGATTATAATTTTGCCACCGCTGAAGTAAAAATGAGGAGAGGGATTTGCTTTCAGCTAATGAGCGCTTCTGCTCAGCTAATATCAAGGACAAAGATGTGAACTTAGAGGTAAGCCTATTACATCCTCTGTTGCACCCTCCTTATTATCTCTAAATAGAGTTTGGACAGCTGATTATTACAACAATTTATATTCCACCCTTCAGTGATGGCAGTAATCCCTCCAAGATTAACCAGCCAACCCGTGTTTGAAATACAGTCCATGATACAGGAGCTCTTCAGCTCGAGTGTTTAGTGTAGCCTGGAGAAATTTTAATATGCAATGTTTATGAGATTAGGACACAATCACATGGACGGACATGACATTTATTATAATTCATCATGAATACTGTATGAGCTCATTATGGGAGTGTTATTAATTTAACAGAGACCAAAGAGAATACTCACCCCCTAAAGCCTTTGCTTATTATAAACTCTATACCATCACATTAATGCTTTAATTATGATTATCTTCTATTAATGATGTGTGGGGGGCGAGTGTAATGAAATGCTGTTTTCACTTGACCAACCCGAGTACGTCTGATATGATTGGTTAAAAACAGATACGGATGAATACTTCATTAACGCTTCAGGAATATGAACATGCAGCATTGCATCATGGAGTGCATTAAAGTGAAACTAAAAAACAATCATAGAGATTAGAATGGTGAAAAGCTGAAGACAAAAGGAAAACACCTTGAAGAAATAGAGAAAATTAACTTCAGTTTGACAGTTTACCTTTCAAAATAAAAGTCACAAGGTGTGTGAGTTTGTAAGCAAGAGTAGAGGAGATAAAGGAAACAGAATTTGTAATTTACTTTTCAATACAAACATTAAAATGTGCAATAGTAGCAAGTGAGTTAGCAAGTTTACAAGTCAGCAAATACAAAAGTCATAAAGTGCACAAGTACGTGGGTGAATAAGTGAGAAAGTAAGCAGGTAAAAGAGTAACTAAATAGGGAAATGAGTAAGTTGGTAGATAAGTGAATAGGAAAGTAAGTAAATAAGTGACTAAGTGAGCAAGTATGTAAGTGAGTTTCATTTACAATTCGTCATTCAAACAAAAGTTAATTACCAATACCATAATTACCACAATAAATAAGCTAGTGAGTAAGGAAGAAAGGAAGAGAGTGATTAAGAAAGAGAGTAAATAAGCTAGTTAGCTAATAAGTAAGTACTCCAAAAATAAGTTAGTTTAACATGTATGTAATTAAGCAAGAATATAAGTGAGTAAGATAGTAAGTACTTAATAGCTAGGGTAGGAAGTGAGTAAGTGAGACACAAAGTAAGTAAATAACTGACTTACACAAGTCAGGAAGAAAATAAGCAAGTAAGGAGTAGATATGTTAGTAAAGAAGTTAATAAAAATATGAAATTAGTGAGAAAGTACGTAAATGAGATGGTTCGTAAAGATGTTAAACAAGTCACTTTGTCAATAAGTGAGTGAGATAGGAATTCAATTATTTAGTTACTAAGTTAGTCGGTGAGATAATGTACAAGTAAGCTAGTATGTAAGTTCATATGTTAATTGAGTTAGTATGTATGTAATGGAAAGTGACAAAGCATTTTTGTAAGTAAGTTAGTAAAAGAAGTAATTCAGAGTCTGTCAGTCAGTATAAATGAATAAATAGATGAATGTTTGCCGTTAAAGATGACATAGGCCGCAGTTATTTTAGATGCTCTTGAAAGGGGTAAGAAAACTTAGGGGTCCCGCTCAGTCGAGGGCCAATTACCTTTGGTCAAAAGCCGAGTTAAAGGGTCTGAGCTGAACAGTCACATGGAGGCCCTCGACATCAGTTGGTTTCATGTCAGCTTTACCATGTCACCATAGAGGCGTATTCTGGCTTTATGAGGAGAAAGAGCCCAAAAAAAGAAATAGTGCCACTCTGATCAAAAACCCTTTCATTTCATCTAATGTGTTTGCAGGATCTAATTTGTCTGTGTCTTGGTGTCCAGTATTGTTAGTCGTCTGCTTTTTGTTGCTTCAATATGTCCATTTTCCTCTAATAACTGAGGAAATTTCCCATCAGGGAGCACACAGTTGATCTTACTGTATCTTAAAGGCCAAAACAGAGCCGACACCCTTAGGACATGTACTTTAATTATCTGATCATTACTTCCCAGTCCCATCATTTATCACCAACTTTCTATTTAATCACCCGAATCTTAACCATGGTAATAAAAGTTAATGCACATTGAAGAAATAGCAAACACATCTTGATTTCTTGGTATGTCTTCAGAGTGTAATAATCTTAGCACTAGCCCGGACCCAAAATGTCTAGTGAGAATTAACTTAACCTGCTGTTATAAATGAAGTGACTTGAGCCATAGCGGCATAAACCATCATCCTCGTCCATTCCGACTAGCAGCACACACCCAACAGGTTTTTGTGTTATTATTGCAAAGAGCACTTGTGCACCATTGTCATTCTAACAAACTTCACAACAAATGTGGCATAAAGCCTGAAAGAGCTGTGCAGATGAGCAGCTGTTAAACCATCTGTCTGCTCTGTTTACTGTGAGAAAATGGAAATGATCTGAAAGCTGGGTATGTTTCATGTTTAAAAATGATGTTGATTGTTTCATTTGATGCTCTGCATGGATTACAAGGATGTGCAGGACCCTGGATGTTGACCTTTCTGCCTCTGTTACTGAATTTGAGTGTTTTCTCTCTCTGGTTTTGGCTGAGCTGAACATGAAAAACAAATGCAATGACAAGAGCACTTTATCTTTGATTTTTTTGGCTTAATAATATGAACGCTTCCCTTTTTTCCCATACATAAGCTAGAGTAGAACAAAGTGTTTTATATACTATAGAAGTACACAATTGATTGGTTGTTTATTGCAGTGAATAATGTCAAGTGTTCGATGCACAGAAACACTGGATTGACGAGAAGCTCCTTCTGCAGATCGCTGATCCTCTAAAGCCTTCAAACGTACAGTGAAAATGGAAATGTGTCTCTTTGAGGGAGGATGAGACCAGTGCCAGCTCTTCATCAGCAGATTCCCCCTTTTCCACTCCTCATCCAGCCGTTATTTTCAGCGCTGTGATCATCGAGCAGTCCACTCTGCGTCAGTTCTATATCATTCACACCACCCTGACATGAAAATGAGAATTTCTCTGAGTCTGAAGATAATGAGCAGATGCTGTGCTGACTGCAGTTCAAACTGCTATAACACACATTCAGGTTTTCTGAAGGTGGCTATTTCCAGACTGAGCTGGTGAAATTTCCAGAGCTGAACTCAAAGGTTGTTATCATACCTTATCAGCTCATGTTTGCCGGGTTGAAAAAGTGACAAGTCTAGACCAACATGGCTTTGTCATTGCTTGTACTTTTGTATCATTTTTGCATTTTAATGTCACTCAAGAGACTGAAAATTGTGCTGCATGCAACCAGCATCTTTATGAACTGTTCCCTTGAGTGCACTACAATACTATCCACACACCACACAAACTTCATTCACTACTACTACTACTACTACTCACTCTGAGCATGACTACATACTCCATGCACTACTGTACACTCTGTGCAGTCCATTCACTTCACTCAATCCTACATACTCCAAGCACTACATGCATTCAATGCACTACTACATATTCCACACACTACTTCACACTCCGTAAAATACTTCCCACTACTGTGCTGTTCAGTCACTACTGTGCATGACAACACACTCCAAGCCCCTCTCTGCACTATTACTCACTGCTGTGTACTCCAAGTACTTCATGCACTGCTATGCACTCCACTTACTAATATATGCATAACTATGCACTACTCCACTCTCTATGCAGCAGTACCCATCACTAAATACTACTATGCACTCTAACCCTCACCCATACCTGCCAACACCCCTGGAACTCTCCCGTATTCCAGACCTATCTCCCGCCAACCTCCCGTATTGTCATTTCTCCTGGGAATCTCCTGTAGTTTGCATAGTTCACATTCATTCATGAATTGGATCACTATATTTGTCCAAAGTTGCCAGACAACCGAAGATTGTCCTGTGTTTCTGCTGAGCCTAACAGACACTGGATTGATACTTTTACTTTACAGTTTAGGATGATTCAGGTCAGTTTAAGCTGTAAACTATATTAAAGCAGTGTTTGTTGCAAAATGAACATTTCAATGAAAGGGAAACAAACAAGAGATATAATATTTACGTTGATAGTCTTTCACCGTCTCGGAGTGATGCGTTCAGGGCAACCTCAGATAAAGGAATGCTGTATTGCACGCACAGATGTTCAGAGAGACTCATACTGGAGAGCATGTAAAATGTAGTGGACTACATAAATTCAAGGCATATCGTAGCTATAATTATTATTTTTTATTACCATTTGTTATTGTTAAAAAAAAAAAAGTTTGCCGCTTAACTTACACTTATTTGGATGAGCAATTTAATTACAAATACTCTCATAATTAGCTCATATCCCCCATACAAGGAAACTTCAAAACTGCCCGGCGCACGCTGCAAAAATCTCCCAGATTTTTTAACCCAAATGCTGGCAGGTATGCCTGCCTAACCCTAACACAATACTACATGACTTCATGCACTACTGAGATGTCATGCACTCCATGCACCACTGCACTATTATGCATTCCACCTACTACTATGCACTAATGAGCACTGCACTACAAGGACACCTTGCTCCCCACTCATACTAAAATCTAGAAATTTACAGACTACATTTACAGAGTTAAAGCTATAAGTGTACACAATTTTAGATGGATTCCAACACCCACATTCACAAATATTCATCAAATTTGCTTGTTTGACCCTGTGAACTTACTGCTTCCCACCATCACCTATATGGCATGACATAGGAATCAGAATGATCAGTTTTATCATTTTTACAACAGAAATATAAACAAAGTAAAAGCACATGCCTGTACACTGTCAGCTGTAACATCCGTAAAAATCTTATTAAACTGTGTTTGAAGGATTACAGAAATTAACCAGCGTGACAGACAGATGCTGCTCTATTCAGTTTTATGCTGACTTTTTGGGAGGGCAGAATTAAATCTGCAGAGCAAACACCCTGTGTAAGAAGATCCCTTTTTGTCATAAAAAGACAATATCAGCAAACACACTAATGCCAGCTCAATATATCAAACAGCCGTCAAACTGCTGAGCCTCACAAGTCTGAGTACATTTTTTATATTTCTGGTGAGCACACAGGATCTGCAGCTGATATTACCTCATCCATTCACCTGGTTCTCCACATAAGTTTTTATAAAGAGGAATTCAGGTGAAGGCCGCTCCGTCTGCTTCCCCTTAGAGAAGAAAATACAGAGAATCTACAGGTAGAGCCGAAGCGAAGCAGGGAATGTAATTTCAGCAGAGAATTATGATTGACGGGTTAGAAAGGAATGATAGGCATGTCTTATCTTTATTTTTACGGGGAGAAGAGGCAAAGAGGAGGAGGAACGAGAGGGGAAGAAAAACAGGAGACTCTGTGAGTCATTAAACACGGTAAATGGAGTTCTGATACACTCAGAATCATTTCAGACTCGGTTCCCACCGTGTGGAGTCCACAGGCAGAGTGGCACCAGAGATAATACCAAATTGCATACATTTTAATGGGCTTGACAGCAAGGGATCAGAGAGTATTAATCCATAGCTTTGTTGCACCACATCCTGCTAATGTGCCTCTTAACCAAGCTATTACAAGCTCACTCAGACACTGACAAATGGGAAATAAATGGGGAGGAGATGGCGTCCGTATTCTCTGTAGGTATAAGGACAGCATGTGTCTTCAGACTTTGGAAGTTTCGCTTTTGAATTTGTTTCATGGAAATTTTCTAATGAGATATGAGAAATTACAAATATAGAGAAAGAAATTTCCTAACTGTTTGACGAGGAGGGTGCCTTTTCCTTCATGGTTATGTTCGTCACAGCGACAAACATAACCAGTCTGTCTGTTCTTCAGGCTCTGTCTCTGGCATGATCTGTCCTGTATTTTATTAAATGCCTTGATATAACCACGATCAACGCCTCCACCTCCTCCTGTCAGAGTTTATTAAAGCAGAGCAGTTATGAGAAATCGCATGGACATCGATTTCTTTTCTTTTTTAGTCACTCTAATCAGAGACTCCGGGCCGAGGTGTAGTCATTTTAATTCACAGGTAAACCGCAGAACTGTCACGCAAAGAGCAACAGGCTTCATACTGTCAAACCAAAGTTTATTATCTATTTAACACTTAAGTCTGTGATCACCTGCCCCGCGGTGCTGTTTGTGCAGCATAGCACACACGAGGTGCATGGAGCTCCGTGCTGATTTAAAATTGAAGCGGGAAAGTAGGATCCTATCACAGGTAACAACTGGAGACTCACGCTCGATGAACAGTCTCTCAGAGGACAGATAGACTTGTGTGGGATCTCTTTTTGTTCGCTCCTTTCGCTCTTACTTCAGGAAAAGTCAGAGATTGAGGATTGGCGATTGAAGTGTTGGAGGCTCTGCTGATGGATAATGTAGGTGCAGCTGAAACAAAATAAACATAAACTAGTTTATTTTAAACTGGGTAAAGCAAAGTCTGAGTTAGCATGAACACTGTCCCCAACTTTATGTTTGAGAGACCACTGATTTTACCAGTGAGATGCAGCTGTTGTTGGACTTGCTCATGGATTTAACTGAGTTTGAAATCAGCCTGGTCGCTTTATTTATGATCAGCAAGTATTTGATTCCAGAAAAGTCAGGATTGTGGACATCTATGACGAATCATTTGGCTCCAACTTCTAACAGAGATAGGGTGACCATATTCTAAATCCCTAAAAAGAGGACACAACTACGCGGCGCCGGAGTCACAGAGTTGCACAAAGTTAGTTTTGAGTAGTGATGTGTAATCCCGGTGAAGCGTGTATCGAGGCTTGTGTTAGTGACGTATGCGATGACGTTCAAAGCCTCACAAGCCGGCCGTACCACGTGACTGAGTCAAGAAATGGTTCGCAGATTGGATCCCCCCGCACAATCCATAGACTTGTGACTTGTTAAAAAGTTGTTTTGAATTAAAAAAAATAAATGTTAACGTATTCTATGTTGTCTCCATAATAAAAGCACAGTCACAAACCAAGTACCACAAGCACATTCACATCGCAACCCCCTCCATAATTTATGTCCTTTTCCCCATTTTGACCCTGCAACAATGTCATAAAGACAGACACCATGTTAATCACGTCATCATTTCTGTATTGTATCACAAACACATGGCATTACATCCATTCGTTCATTCAATTCTAAGTTTCGCGTGTCTTTGATAATCGCGCTGCCTATTTTACATTTATTGTTCATTTATTGGCACAATAGAGCAAATGAAGCACAACAGTGAAGCTTCGGCCCAGGAGTCGAGCAATTTGATGGACAACTTCAATGCTTCAAGACGCTTCATCTGACCATCACTAATCTTGAGTTTTTCTGGTTGAATCGAGAGTCTTTTACATGCTTCTAACTCAGTAAGTTGATGTGACACAAATTCGAAACTTCCATACAAAACCCAGTACATTTTCAGGATTTTATAAACTTCCCAGGACAAAGCCGGACAAGGCCGGACAGCCCCCCACAGAGGTCTGACAGCTGGATAGTGAACAGGAAACTCAGCAAGACGAGGAAAAAAGTGATCTGTGCATCAGAACTGGACTGCTTGACCTCTTTAGCAGAAAAAGAAATTAAAATCCTTTCTGTTGTTACAACCTTTTAACTCCACACTTCATCCTTTGGGTGTATTGTTTCATGTTGCATGCTGGTTGCACACTGCCAATCAGCTGTTTGATGAAGATATCATATAAATATGCATGACTTGATGAATAATGTGTAATTAATATTTCCTTTCAGTAAGAACTCTGAAGCTGATTTGAGCTTTAGGCTAACTCTCCAGACTGTTATACAGAAGATTTTTATATGGAGAGTGTTGACAGCTCGGCTCCCCTCATTTATACTCTGATCCTTTCACTTAGCGCATCATTAATACATTTATTCCCAGTTTGCGTGGATTCAAAATTATACCATATCTGAGCGTGAGAGAAAGTATCAGATGATTAATACAAAGAATGGAGGTTAACGATGCACAGAAAACTCTCAGGCGGTCGTCTTCCTCCACGCTGGCAAAAACAAAAAGATGAAAATCTCTCGCTTGATGTCTGTATTCAAAAGCGTTTTCCCAAAAGCGGCAAAGCGAAAGAGCGAAGAGAGGCAGAAGAGGAGAGAGAGAAACTTCCATAAACACATGAAAGAAAAGCTGGGCTCCCTGTGTTGCAGCTCAGAGAGTAATCATAGATTATTAACATTTATATTGAAAGATGAAGCCCCATTAGAAAGCAGCTGGTAAATTACATTTGGTTAAGCCTCTCTATGTGTGTGTCTGTGTGTGGAAGTGTGTGTTTGTGTATGAATGAAGAAGAAAAAAAATCATCTGGTTTATTGCAACATAGCAGGCCCTAGCTCATTTTGGCAAGTCAATATGGGCACCCGAGGGTAATCTACATGCAACTATTTATGAGGCTGACTCCACCAGCTCGCTGCGTTCGCCGAGGCCAACCGAGAAAAGTGCAGCTGACATGATTCTGGTAGAACAAAGACATCTTGTTGTGTCTGTGTGTGTACAGCTGATGATGTGTTTGTGTGTATAGTTTATTATGTCAGTTCAGTTGCAGATTCCCCGTAGTGGCGCTCGCACGTCTCACAGGGTCACAGAGGCTTTTTGAAGCAGATGTGCAGAGTTTCTTCGGCTTGATGGTTACAGGAGATGCAGCTTCTCAGGTGAGCGAGTAATTGATTTGATGCAGAGCCGCTGTAAATGCAGAAGAAAAAATACAGCAGCTCTTTTACAGGAAAACAATCGATCCAGTTGTATCACGTTTATCTTCCTTGTAGGGATGCACGGTATGGATTTTGTTACAGCTGATAACAAATAACTACCTGCCCGTCATGGCTGGTAATGAAAACATAATCGGTTATTTCACATCGCGCAGTTTTGAGTAAAGATTAGGACTTGTTGTTTTTGCAGGGTCAGGAAAACCCAGATGAGGAACCTGAGGGCTTTTTGCATGAGAGAGGAATTAATAGTGCAGAAACACTGTGACTGTCTTAGCTGTGGACCTCAATATAATCTCACAAAAACACAGTAGGACAGGACATCCATGCAGAGAAAAATGAGCTTTCTTTCTTTTCCTTTCTTTCTATTTTTCTTTCTTCCCTCCTTACTTTCTCCCTTCATTCCTTCTTCCTCCTCCAGATGAGTCCTTTATTAGGATACTTTAAAACTTAAAAATAAAAGTCAGGGTCAACTCTAACACAGAGATGACCCTAACTCTTGTAAAATGTTTTCTCCTCAATACAACTGTGGTATTGACAATGTCTGCACTGGTTGATACACTCGCGTCCATATTAAATCTCTGGAGGGTTTGTCAACAAAGTGGCCAAGCTGACATGTAGCCCTTTAAAGTCCTGGTTGACAATCTAAGAACCAGTTGAAAAAAACTGAGCTGTTGAGGCAGATTTGAAAAAAGCGTCCCACCCTCCACACACAAACCTCTCTCCTCTGTGCTCCACGATAACTCCCTCTGAACCTGTATCACCATCCCCATGACACACACCCTCTGGCAGAGCAAGAAGCCAGCCGGCAGAAGATCCTATGCTAGCTTGCCTGGACAGCTACCGCGTTGACATTGCAGAGGGACTAATAAGAGTTATTAATTAAACATGTGCCACGATAAAAGGCAAAATACCTGTTCAACAAAAACTACGCTGTCTTGGCGTCTGTTCGAAGGATGACCAGATGTTTATTCGAGTTAGATTCCTCACTTGGTCACATTTCCTCTTTGACTCTGCCCTTTCATCTGTCGGCTTGTATTTTCATAGCCATTTTGGCGGCGGGGCAAGCAGAGGTGGTTTTTTTTTGCGTCCTTCTCCATCACAGCTCCTGTAGCTAAGCTGCTACGCTACTTTTACGTTCAGAGCTCCGAGGGCCGGGAGAGTGGGGAGGGGACAAGTCTGAACTACGGGGTGTGTTGAATACAGCAAGGTGATTGGATGGAGAGGCGGAGCAGGAGATTGACCAATAGGAGCTGTCCAGGACAGATGGCCCCCATTGGCCAATGTTTTTGCAGCCCTGCACCTGCTAGGGTGAACAGATTTTTTCCATTCTTTTTTCTCTTCACTTTGTGGAGATTGCACTGTAGGACAATGCTCGCCATATAAACGAGATTTATAATAATTACCATCTCTCCAATTGTCAACCATGCCTTTAAGGTAATCCACTCATTGTTGATATCTCAAACAACCCCACTCTAAAAATGGCAAGCCTTGCCTTTAAACTTCATAGCCAGCACCAACTCCAACCAAATACAAAGCACACAAGTCAGTTCATGAACAAAATTTCCAGTTGCTTACACATTGTATTCATATTATGCAAATGACTCTGGGTCACTTTGTTGACTTGTCATTCACAGAGCCTTGGCTGTGTATGAACAGCAAATGAATAATTCCAGGAGTAAAGTGTTGCTAAATTTGACTAAACTTGTAATAGATCAGAACAACACTTTTCAGCTTGAAAGGATTCAGGCAGCTGAAAGATAAAAGGGAACAAATGTAGGTTTTGATAATGGTAGAGTTACACCGTCTTGCAGCATGGGTTTGTGTCATTGGTCATTAACAACAAAAACAAAGGAAAGCATGAAATTGTCCTGAAATGCCTATGAAATCTGAAATTTGTCCTCTCTGTGTTCATGACCATTTATAATCCAACAGATGTTAGAGAGTCATTTGTGTGTGTGTGTGTGTGTGTGTGTGTGTGTGTGTGTGTGTGTGTGTGTGTGTGTGTGTGTGTCCTCTGCTGTCAAATACCCTGACAAATAAAGATCTCAAAGTCACTCTTGAAGTCTGTTGCCTGGTTTCTGTATCCAACGACCAAGCCTGTCTGTCATTTGCTGGAATAACTCTTGTTGTAAAGTCAATCAAGATCCAAAAGGCTCTGTTGTTACCAAGTCTCACTCAGTAGTTTTCTCACTCTTTGGCTCAGCCCTCCTTTACACACCTTTACTAACCTGAGCTCCCTTCTACTCTCCCGTTCTCAGGTTTCTTCGCTTTTTCCCTTGGAGTATCGAGTCGCCTTTTTCCTCTAGAAACCCCAGTCCCTAAAGTTGTCGATGTGAAAATAAAAAATATGAAATATCTCTTTAAAAGGGCATGTTTGAAACAGGTAGTATTTGGAGATTTTGTTGTATCCAGTGGCCATGATCTTACACTGATTTCAATTCCAAATCCAGTGGTAAAAGAGCGCACTGTTGCCATAGCATTTCTCACCGATATAGACACAGGGATCAACCCATGAGGTGTGTGTTTGTGTGTGTGCAAACGTATGGATCTGCGTTTCCTCTTTTCATTTTGAATTTAATCTTTTTTTCCAAGCCTCAAGTGCCGCATTACAATCGAACTTTTCATGATTTCTACTGTAGCCACACACTACACACAAGAGAGCAACACATTATCCTGGGTGTAAGTGTATGTGTGTGTAGGGGGAGAATGGCTGCATCTTTTCCCGCTCTGCATCTTCTTCATGCATAAACTGCCGATCCACAAGGGCAGTGAAGTGGTTATTTACCGTGTCTTGAACAGAAAGGAGGCAGAAACACTTCTCTGTGTTTGCATGTTTTCGTGTGTGAATCTTACAATTGTTTTAATGTGTGTCCAGGACAGATGGTAATATATTTGGAGTACCTTTGTGTGATTTGATGTTTTTTATGAATACATTGCTCGGGTCGAAGGATAGCTATGACTGATTTTTTGCCACAGTACCTACGATAGAGTCAAGTCTCAATCTGCATACATGAATGTTAACAGCTGCATTTTACTGAAGTATTCTCAGGGGCCAGAGAGCGTGGGAGATGTTTTAAATATGAGATGTTTCTCACAGCAAAGGGGATTTCTGCTTTGAATAAAAACATTCAATGAAAAATAAAAGTTGGGCGGATGCTGGAAATAATGGACATCTCACTTCTGATCATATATTTTCCTCAAACGCCTATGATTCAGTTTGTTTTACTCAGCAGGTCTGGATAAAGGATATTTGTATCCACCACACTGGGGGAGGCTGAATAATCCTCATCACAGGATTTCCTTTAAAAGCACAGTTGAAAAAATTATATAGATGTGCAGAAATACTGTACATGTGCACTTAATCTCCTCTCATAGCATCTTAAAAAAAGGAGAATGAGAGGATGTTAGAACATAAAGCGTTCTGGTTTCTGATCACATATCACTGAGCTTCTAGATCTGAGAGCTGCTTTCAGCACAGCTGACCACAAAACTCTTCCATGTGGCGTCCCCCAAGGCTCCATACTTGGTCCTATTTCATTCTCTTTGCACATGCTTCCCAAGGGGTTTATTCTTTGTAAATACAGACTATCTGTTCACTTATATGAATTGCATGTCTTGATTATTGTGATGTACTTTATGATGTATTTTATGATGATGTTATGTGACCATATATTTCTTAACTCTGGCTTCCCTTTACTGGCTCCCTGTACATTCTAAGTTTTACCGTAAGATTTTACCATCACTACATAAACTGCTAGACAGGCTAAGTCCTACCTGTCTCTTTAACAAATGAAAACCAAGGACTAGAATTACTCAAGCAGTGTTACTAAATGAATATTTTTCACAGCAGCATTTAACACTGATAAGCAATGACTGTCAATTCCTTCGGAGGTTGATGTGCACCCAGTAACTGAAATATAAATCACTTTTGCTCTTTCCTGCACAGTTCTACTCAATTTAAAAGTGATCTAATACAAATGAGGGAGAACAGCGCTATGGTTGATTTTTCCTTTTAAGTCAACAGACAATAAAAGTACAAATCCCTTTAAATTCAGGTGGAGCTGAAAACTAAAATAGCTTAGGAGACAAGCCACATTACAGTTAAAGAAGACCCCTCTATGGAGACGTCAGATTGATAGACACTTGTCACTAGCGTGGCTCACATCATCATCCTGATCCATTCTGGAGATGTCTCCCCTGAGATTTTCTTTTCACTCACTATTTAAGTCAGTTTCATTTATTCATGTCATACACAGCATGTGGGACGTCAGCTGTCATAACCGTCAGAGTTGCTTGTGTTACCCTTCAACTCCAAGTGCCATTTTCATATCATTTCTGATCATTTTAGGCAAGCTTCAGTGTGCTTTAAGCAAACTGTCAAATTTTAAATATGTCATATTAACATATATGTTACACAGATTACAGAACATGGCCCAAAACACTACGATCTTTACCAGTATATACTGTAAAGTGTTAAATATTTTACTACCTCCTTTACAAGCATTCAATGTCTGATATTTGGTTTTGGGTAAGAATTGAAATAAGCTGACTAAGTAGAGTCTTTTCATCCCCCTGTGTATTGGTACCAGCCTGGTTAGACTGTGTCAAGAACATCCATCATCTATAATGAAGACTAATGTGTTGAATTAATGTATCTCTAATGACTGAGGCCAGCTGTCACTCACAACCACACTGCCAGAGGGATGAAAGATGGAGGGGCACAGCGATAGTCCTTCACAAAGTGGTGAAAAGTAGGACAAGTTATTCAGCAACTGGGGCATAGTTCTGGTGCTGGTTCTAAGAATATAGTTATCAATGTAGTAGAGATGTATGACAGTGGTCCAGCAGCCAAAAAAGGACTAACAAGTTCTTGCTATAGTCCTAACCCTAACTCTTAGGGATCAACATCTGGGCACATATGCTTATTTATTAACTGAGTTAGTTCTGTGTGGACAAAGTGGTAACCTTATATCTTTGCTGATTTGGTCTTGTCTTTGTGAAAGTGGAATTAGTTGGCAAAAAAGAGTCCCCTCCTGTTTTTTATTTATTTATTTATTTTTTTACAGTGAATGTGATCACTGTTTGAATATTTGCAGAGGAAAAAGTAACAATATATACAGCACAGAAATTGTCAGCCTCATTGTTGATGGTCTCCTTTTGTGTCGAATACCATACAGACACATCACTGTCCCTGTCAGTCTGTTTCATAATGTGTCAAAGCTCAGCTTTCAGATATAATTGGTAAGAGGGAGCTGCAATAGGGGTCAAGAGGTCTGATATTTGGATCAATGTGGTGTAACTCACTTACTACCTTCCAGAATGACTTATGAGACCGTGACTCACCAAGAACTTTGAACAGTTTTAGATCATTGACTTCCTCTGACCTTCAGCTGTGCAGAATGTGCAGTATATTTGTTTTCTCCTTAAAAAAGTGCTTACTTCTAATTTATCACAACATAAAAATTACATAAAACCTGGTGTAAAACTTGCACTTTTAAGACCCTTTTTTAACGAATAAAATTTGGTGCATCCCTTAAATCTACGCCACCAATGTGCCAGTATAAAACGCAGAGAGATGTACTTTTTGTTGTGCTGTTTACCAAGATGCCACTTCTTAACATTTGTTCTCCCTGAATAGGCCATAAGCAAGCATATACAGCAAATGGTGTTATTAAATAAACCTTGTGAGGAGCTGGTTTGAGCAGACCTCTGGATTAAGTGACCCTTTTAACAAGTTGGTTATGCATAGTGTATCTATCTGCATCTCACACAAACCAATGCTACCATATGTGCTTACCAACTGTATCTATAGCTAACGTACAAGAAAGAGCTTCATGGTTGCATAGAATCTGCACATTGACAGTCTTCACTCAGTCAGATTGTTAATAATATGATTTAAAAGGAAAAGACCCCATTGCAAGTATCCAGCACCTCTTTTTGTGCGATTTTTACATATTTCAGTGTGCAGTATAATCAGTCAAATTAATGAGTTTATCATCAGTGAACCTGTTCATTTTCCATTCATTCATCTGGGAGCACAGTGCCCATAAAGCAGAAAATAAAACCATGATGAAACTAAGAGAAACAGCTGAAAGCAGCATTCAAAAAGAAACAAGCAAATGGAGCCAGTCATTGTTAAAGTATGGTGTAGTGTTCAGAGTCCATTATAGATTCCCTCTGGCTCTCTTACAAACACAGGACATATATTAAATGGAAGAGCCATACATTTCAGTAATAAGGAAAGTAATCATGAAGATCTACAGCTCAATGTGAATCATGGTTCAATTTGCACTCAATAATTTACAAGCAGCTCTCCCACCAGATGGAGAGTTTGTGCGCTGAAGAAAAAGAATAGGAGGTAGCGAGGTCAGTTTACTGGCTGAGAGAGAAAATCTAGTCTTCTTTTGGTTCATGCCAAACAATTTGGTACAAGCTAAAGAACAGAGGGAACTCCAGCATTATTCAAGCATTAAGATATTCGCGATTGAAGCCTGATTAATGTACATAAGCATTAAATGTACGATTAAAACATCTGGGTTTGATTTATATCAGTGATGGTGCCATTTGAGTATTTTCCTAGTGCTTTAAGTTAGCCGATGTTATTAGGTACTAATTTTCTAGTTGCATGAATGGAAAGCTAACAGGGATTCCAGTCTAGCACAACTAACCAAGTGTTTTCTTCAATTTGGTAGACGTCTTATCTTTGCAGTTGACTTGTGTCTTCACCACAAAATATTTTGTTCCTTCCAAATAATAAAAACAAACGTTTAAATTATCATCCATGTTGATTTTGAACTAAGAGTGCTAACAGGAATTAATGTTGTTCCACTGTGTAATCAGGCAGAGGTGTAATGTGGTGCACTCTTTTGGGGATGTCAAATGGGATCAGGTTTGCAAATTTTCACTGTCGAGCAATAACACACCTTTGTTTTGGTATCTGAACCAATAAGAATCCAGGTTTTAACAGTTATGAATAACTATAAGAACAGGTCTCAATTATGCTAACTACTGTTTGAATTCAAAGACGTATTATTTGTTAATGGATTTATCTTTGGCACATGATAATGTGGGTAAAAGTCTAACTACAAATGTCCCAGTGCTGCACATAAACTCTTACACTTCACTATAACTCCTGTAAGCAGGCTTTTTCTGTCCTAATGTCACATACTTGGCCTTTGGTAGTCTCATGATCCTTCAGTGCTAAAGAACTCAATAAGAGGTTAAACTACTGTAAGACAGAGTAACTGGCTGCTAAATTAAACTGGCCAAAGCTCTCTGAATTGAAATACATGGCTGTTCTGTGAGGGCTGTTGTTCTCCTACCAGTTAAGTGTGACTGGATTTAAAGCACAGCTTTAGCAGCAGTGGACTTATTCATTGTATTTCCCAACCCCAGTACCCTGGTACCCATTAAACCATACTTTGACACCAAATAAGGTCTAAGTGTTTCAGATTTTTTACTTTGTTTGCTTGAAGTAATCTCACAGCCTTTAATTAAAAGTTGGCTAGTGATTAAATGCCTGCACACATGCACCCCCACGTGCGAGCAAACACACTCACACTCATTCCCTGGTTGCTGTTCCTTGACAGAGGCCATTTGCTAAATCCTAATGGAATTCATTAGTTTCTTCATTTGTGTCCTCGGAGGCTGACGATGCACCGTTAATCACCTCTTAGTCTGACCCACACTCAGCCTTTGGTTTCTGTGAGCAGATCTAAAAATCACTGCTTATAAGTTATTGAGCCGCATCTCAGCAAGAACACCAAAACTAACTAAGACTTGAGTCTCAGTATGAGTTCTCATCAGGGCCTGAGCGTACACCACAGTGTGCAAACAGCTTTTGAACCCTGTGGATCATTTTCATCTTTTTATACTGCCAAACTCAATTTCTTATTTGGAGGTTTTAACATGCCCTAAAACTCAGTTAACTTCAAACTAGAACCAGGCCTTGTGAAGAAAATGTGACATTTTGTATGTTTTGATTACTGCGAAAAAAATGACTTAATATCACCCCTTAAATATTCAAAAAAGTGAGTCCCTACACTACACTAGTGTCAGCCAGTCATGGCTGATGCTTTAGGGAATAAAGGTTAGGAAGGATTTTTCTGTACTTAAAGGGTGTTGCTGTTGCTTATAGTTAAAGTAGACGGATGTTGGGCGGGCATGTTACCAAACTCTTGGCTCCTATCCATTGTTTGTTCAAAAGTGTGCATGTATACTGAGGCTGTGTCTCAGTATACGCGCACTTAGCTATGCGCACTGCCGTTATGTGGACTGGACCACCCTGGGTGAGATGGTGTGGTTTTTGTGAAATGGGACACACTACCCTTCGGAGGACTTTCTGGTTGAGTCGCGAAATGTCTCCACCCTCAGGCCGGCATCACGACTGACTTGAAGAAAAGCTACAGAGTGCAACAGTTATTTTTAATTGCGTGACCTTGCACAGACACAAAACAGTAGATACATACAAACACAGATCATTTCCACAAAATTCATTCAATGATGGCATGTTTTGTATAAAGAAGTATGAGGCCAATATTGAGAATTTTTTTTTAAAGATTTCGAGATTGAAGTCATGAATTTATGAGAATAAAGTCATTAATTTATTAGAATAAAGTCGTAAGGTTATCTGTTATTTCAAAGGAGAGTTGTTAAAATTAGGGCCATGAAGCATTTAAAGGAGCTGTGCTTCAGTATAGGTTTC